GGGGGAAGGTGGGGGGTGCAGATTTATTTTCAACGAAGTCCTTAGTAGTATTGAAGGTAATGGTTAACGTGGGATACAGTTTCCATCGATGCATATTGTTTAATGTTATCACATAAAATACATATTACCATCTATGTTTACGACAATATACCGCTGAAGCTGTTTAAATATATAAAGCAGAATTTAATGCTAGTAACAGTTTACTTTGTTTTGCATTTTATGACACGAAAACGACAAATAACAGCAATGAGTTGGACTTATCAACAATACCACAAGAAGTTTTCGTGTTTTTGGTTTTTTGGTTTTTTTTAAATTGCTTCCTATCCCGCGGGCTTAGGGAAATAAGAAAAATACATTTCTCTATACGAAATGCTTCTTATAAATAAATACTTTTTCATGTAATATAATTCCTAATATATTGTATAAAATAACTCCTATAGTATGTATATATAGAAGATATCTAATTCATTTTATCTTAAAACTATATGTCTATAGAATTGAAATATTGTCTCTTTATAAAACATCTCCTATAAAAACGAGATTTTGTTTTCTTTGAGCACCGTTCTTGAAAAAACCCTATGTAACACAAGGAGACGTTTTATTTAATTTTCAATCTAACCGAGAACATTTTTTGGAAATCCGTTATAGATCACAATTACAGGTATACCTTGTAATATACCTTCTATCCCTTAGAGCTCCGTTGTTGCCAAATTGTCCATATTTCAATGTCCATTATTCATAAAACATTTTAGTATGAGTGCCCAATAAGCTGTTTATAGGTTTCTGTATCCAAACGTCTCGGTGTTTTTTTAAATGGAGGTGTGTAAAAACGTAAAACTATAAAATAATGATTAAATACAAAGTCAATTTAATTACATTTATGATATGGGTTTAATCCTTTTTATTAGGTTTTTTTATGTGATGGAGGGATTTCTTAGTTTGGCCTCATCATATTTTGAATTGTTTACACCGAGACCGATTTACAGCGACCGGCGTATGAATGCAATATCACGTGACCATTGCTAGCGTCACTTGATAAAAATTTGTTGATGCCAAAGGTAATAAGTTTATTTTCAATTTTGACCCCACCTCCATCCTCTTAGCTCCTCCACGCATATGATGTAAGTTTGGAGGAACTTGTTTGGTAACTTTTACGTCATATGTTCATTGGTGCTTGTAGTCACTTTACTTGCCTTTTTAATTTTGAATAGATGTAAAGATATATAAATATGTTCATGTATATGCTTTTGTGATGTTTTATATACATTATTTTATTTTATGTCGTTTTGTTTAGAAATGGCCAATTTAAATGTATACTCCTGAATTACTGGTTGTAATATGAATTGTATAGCACGTGGTATTTCTGGTAGAACCGCACATCATAAAGCGGTTTTTTCGCTGCTCTCGATCATCTTCGAACGAATTCTTAAAAGAAAATGTCTAATGAACATACGGTTACAGCGTAGCCGAATCGACATCGATTTTGTGGACAACTCGTACACAGTTCACACCTTTGTGTGCATACGCTTCACTGGGAATTTGTCTGATGAAGGTGACAGTGTACATATCGTACTAGTCATCGAAACGTCACATAAAAACTCTTATTGGTTGTCTAAAAAAAATACTTTTCATAATCCACACTTATCAACACGAAGAAAATGTAAAGCAATATAACAAGCGTTTATTAACAAGACTCGGGTAACTCCTTAAACTGACTTTCGGAGTAAACTCGTCCTACATCCGATCATAGAGATTGTCCTGCCCTTGTTTAGCTTACATCCCATCAAAATGGGAGTTTTTAAGTTGCATCAAAAAGTAATACGATTAATCATGCAATTTACTCTCCAAATTTTATTCCGCCATTTAAATTCCACACATAAAATAAACATTATAATAGAATAGCTAAGAACATTATAAATCTGCGGAAACTTAAAATTGAACAAATACATTCAAAGTACAATATTAGTTTATAATCACCGTTAACTTCCGGTACTCCGATAGATATTACAATAATTGTCCTACACCAGGAACATCATGAGGGCACTCCATTTTTTCTCCATTATGACGGGGTTCTTGAATCCGTGACTAGAGAACCAGCGCGCATGCGCCTTAGTATTGATAGCCCCGCGGTTGTAATTAAAGAGCATGTTCGGTTGAGGCTTGATGCCCAGTTTATAGGCCACAATACCTAAGTATGAATCGTCAATGCGCATATACTTGACATACGGGAAGGCGAATACGAATTTGCGCATGATTGAGTCTGAAACCAGAAAGGCGCCTCCAGCTAGATAAGGCACCCAGAAGTCATACTGGTACTCCGATAAAGGCACAAACCATTTTGACTTGGGGTCAGAAAAGGGGCGCGAATGTGGCACCAACAGTCCCGTGAATAAGTTCTCAATGTGTCTGGGCGCCAAGCGCCGGATGTACAGCAGCAGGTTCGGCAGAAGCACCAAATAATCGTCGTCAACGAAGTAATTGACCTTTGCACTGGGGCAGTGTTCCACGCCCCAGTTGAAGGCCATTGTAGTTTTATAGGTATTGTTGTGGTACGTGTCCATAAAGTTCTCCTGTACGATATCGCGGTACACTTCCGCTTCAGTGTCTACAGAACGCTGCAGTCCCGGGTCACTGGTGTTGACCCCGAGTAAGAACACAAGACGAATGTTTAGGTCTTTGATATTGCCCCACGTACGTCTAACACCGCCCCGAATTACGGAGTTTCCGACGGACGACTTGACCAGGATAAGCAGAGAGCGAGATGCGTTGGGGCTAAATGTACAAGGGTCGGGTCGATGGAGGTACACGAAGGGGTGAGGATTGATGGGCGTGTCCCGGATGATATTTGTGCCATTTAGCATCTTTATAGTGTACGCCTCGCGCAGATTCACATGCATCGGGTACCTAAATCCGCTTGTCAGGTGTAATCTCTGTTGTTTTTGGCTGGGAATTCCTATGACCTTCTGTGACTTTGATGGGGCCAAGGTCACCGAGCCATTCGGAGTCTTTACTTCCACAAACGTTACGTTTTTCCGAGACGCAGACATTCGTTCTTTAAGCCTTGTGACATTACTAAGGTAGAATGGCATTCCACTTGAATTTTTTATTAGGCCGTCCCACTGTGCGCGAGACAGTTGCTTGACCACTCCATTGTACACATACGCCATTGTGTCCGAGTGGGTCTGAAGCAGCGCGCGCATAGTCATCGTCACCGAAATGAACATTAACAGCACCAATAAGTACTTCACTCTTCCAAACAGACTTAATTTACTGGCTCGCTTATTCATCATGAAAACGACTTCTTCAGCTAATTGTGCCGTTAATACAACTGTTATGACTTCAGATTCTAACACATGATTCCGTGACGACAGCTAAATGGTGATCCTAATACATTTCCTATGAAATCAGTTGATTGTTGATTCTGGTGACGTCAGTTGATTGGTGATAAAACACATACGTGACGTCATTTAATGATGATCTTGTTGGTCATTTTACGTAACGACAGACAGGAACACAGATGCTAATACATGTCGGCTCAGTGACGTCAGCCTTGCAGATCCGTATTTCCGATGCATCGGTACCTGTGAAAATAAGAGAAAGAGATTCAGAAAGGTTTCAAAAAACAACAAAATGACATCAAAGTATCCACAAAGACAGAATTCAAACTCAAAATCGATAAAAATAGGAACAAAAGCTTCACACAGAGACCCTTGAAAACGTACAATGAGAATAAGACCAAGTGTTCCAGAATGGAAAGCGACTCCTGCTACAGACACATGTGTCGGGGCCTGCTATTATCTAACGGGCAAATATTAAGTAGAAAGTTTAGTTTTAAAAAAGCGTCGTCATAAAAAATCTGAAATAATAACAAGCACTGCCCAATTTACAATAGGACAGTTAATTAATTGAGTGCATATTTATCAGTAACTGAAAAGCAAGTAGTATGCTTCCATCGGGGATCGAACCAGCGACCCCAACTTTTCCAGTCCACTGCTCCCGAGCTTTAGCCAGTAAAGGAAACTCCAATCTAGCGAGAAGCTAGGAGGCGACCGCAATCTTACTTGCAGTTAACACCTGTCACATATGTACCGAAATCTTAATTACAGTTAACACCTGTCACATATGTACCGAAATCCAGTCGTTTTAACCAGTTATAAGCATTCACAAAATGTCAACTAATCAGATGACTGTGAAAATATACTTGTGTGTAAGGCAAACTTAGCAAACCTTTCTATTATACTAGTATACTAGTATGTAAGTATCGCCAGGAAGAAAGCATTGGTTCCATGTTATTTATTCGGGGGGGGGGGGGGGGGGGGCCCCCGCAAAAAAAAAAATCATACTTCTTTTTTGTCCATTTCTGATAAAACTTTGCACACAGCTGGATAAGTATTCAGTGGTTCTTTAAGTAATATTGATACAGTCAAAAGTTTTAAATGTCCATATTATTGGGATATCATTGTTTGATCTACGCATAAAATTCCGACGTCATTCCCAAAGACACGTGGTTGAATTTTGCCTTAAAACTCTTTTTGTCATTTTGAACTTATCATGGTTAAAATTCTAAGAAACGGATAATTATGTATATTACCAGCAGAAACATTTGTGAGATAAGACAAACAGTCTGTGTAAATTTCAACTAATGAAAAATGTACCCTTTCTCAAAAACGGACGACAATGTCCTACTCGCTTAAAAAAAAAATCATGGTTGAGATACGCTTCCCGCAGCTAGATCTTTGTATGGAGCACAGGGCCCTGTGTATGGAGTGTAATATCATAACGTGTCCGAGAGACGAAATCTAATCTGAAAATGACTGAAAGGGGGGGNAAGCTAAGATAAGTTACAGAAGGCCTACTGCACTCTTCAACTCGTTCATTCGGGAAGACATGGGGAACACGTTGCTGAAGTATGTAAACTTAGTGTTGTAGTCTGTATGTTTAAATAGCTAAATCATCACATATTCATACTAAACTTGACATGTACAATGGCTCATGACTATTTATAGTGAGAGTGACGTGAGAGTGACTGAAATAACACTTACAGTTACTACAATATTAGGTGGTAAAATCAGTCCTTTCCCGGTGAACGACTCTATCGGAAATGACGTCATCGCGTTTGGGTTATCTCCCATTATCTCGGCACAGTAAGTTTCCTTCGAGGGATTTTTTAAATGCGTACAGTAGTGTAATAAAACCTATTTATACCTAGTTTGTCCAACGAAACTTTAAGCTATATACTGAGGGGAAATAAATAATATAAATTTCTGAGAGAAAAGGGGAAGAATTGATCGATGTTTTACTCTTCAGTAGATTATTTAATTGCCACAGAAATCCATGCAGCTCATATGAGGTGAAAAAAGGCCTACATAAGCTGTGCATGTTGCGCGACCCGTTTGACAATATGCCATCTATGTGAAAATAATATTATGAAATGAACTGAAAAGTGGATTATGATTGCTAACATCGGGAATTCTGATTGGTCAGACTTAATTTGGATGGTGATCTCGTAATTTTAATATATTGCAATAGTTTCAAGTTCCCTGATCGGAAACAGGAATAATGTACTTTTAAGAAAAACATGGGTTTCTAAATAAAATAAGAACGTTATGAGAGCAAAAGGCTCACACAACTCGTGATGGGTGATTATAAGGTTTATCTTACTCTCAGAAGTTAATTTCATATAAAAAAAAAATCAAAATAAGATAACTCGAGTTAGATAAACACGATAATCAACCATTACCTTTTTGGGGAACCTCTATGTATAAGACACACTAGGGCTGATATGCCACGAATTCTCACTCCATCCAAGCACGTTTTAATGCCCGATGAGAAATTGTTTTAGGAGTGGGCATACTGGTCGTTGACACGTAAATACAATGAAATCAATTTTGTGAGATTGTCACATACTTGTTTAAAGAATACGTTGAGTGTTTCTATTTAAATACTGAAATATGAATTACAAAGGAATATCATTTTACGACTCGTCTTCGCTCCAGGCCCCTAAGCCGTGAACAATATTATGTTGATCCGAATATTTAAATCTCAGTAATTCCTAGAGTAAACTGTGTGGTATACTGTAATAATAGGATAGACATTATGGGAAAACCAGACCACGTTCGGCCATTTCCGTCAATTTGGAGCAGGCGGCGGAAAAGGGCGAAGTGATCTAATTTAGTATGAAGTTTGATTATAAATGTTAACTTTTAACTGGTGTATCATGCGAGACTGCAATGTCCACGGCCAACAGTTTATAAAGTTGACCAACTCGCCATGTTTACGTCACGTGAGGCGGACATTCCCGGTATACAGGTCCATTGTACAGAAAGGGAAACCATACTAGCTAACATCAATACGCGGGGTAGTGGTCAATGCATTGGCCACTCTATGACAAAGCGGTGTTTGTCCAGCGCGATGCTTGTAATTTTTTTTTATCTAGCTCTAATGGACTCTGTAAACATTCATTTGTTACGTATAATGTAGTGCAAACAAACCGGAAGTACAATGTATGATGTCCGTGCTCTGACAAACGTCGTCACGTTAACACTACGCATGCGTCAGTTATTCACACTTCCTCGACATAAGATCATTATTCGTGACACTTTAAACCATAAACGCAAATAATGGTTGTTTTATTGTTAAAAAAAAGTGATATTCACAAGAGAAACGAATACATTTTAATTGGATCTGTACACTTGACCAATACGGCTGCCTCACGATCAAACTATTGCATATAGCTATAAAATCTTAATTTTATAAAGATTTTCACCGGCCTCTAGAGTTGGACCCACGTCTAAAAGCTAGCCAAGGTTCAGGTTTTGACTGTAGATTTCAGATTAAACCCAAGTCGTTTACAATCGGAAAATTGAATTTGTCTCAAACATGTATTTATATTTCTTTTTCCCCTTCTTATATCTCCTGTTTCATGTATTTTTCCTCATTGACGCCTTGATCTAGTACGATCAATATATTTCATTTATGTAACCTTTGCTATTCAAGTTAAGTTGATGTAAACAGTTTTCATTGAGAATTAGGGGCCAAACTGGCCATCGTGCAGAGGTAAATCAATAGAGCGTCACGGACAATTGGCTATACAGGTAGCCCACCCGAGTAATGCATGCTCACCTGTGTACGTACGCGTACGTGACAATATAACGCATCGTTTATATATATGCACAGTGGAAATATAATTGTCAATTGTTCGAATATACAACAACAAATTTTCCATTTGACTGTATATCTGAAATGCATGTATTACTATATACACGCATACGTTTCCTTTAAACTTGAGGACGTCTGGAACCATAATAAATCGAGCATTGTATACAGCTACCGCTTACCGATCCTCTCGCACTGACGCCATCTTGAACCTACCAGACACTGCGGGTTTATATATCACCGTGGGTTCCAGTCTACCAGTAGACATCGCAGGTTTATATATCACCGTGGGTTCTAGTCTACCAGTAGATACCGCCATCTTGAACCTACCAGACACTGCGGGTTTATATATCACCGTGGGCTCCAGTCTACCAGTAGACACCGCGGGTTTATATATAACCGTGTGTTCCAGTCTACCAGTAGACACCGCGGGGTTATTTATCATCGTGGGTTCTAGTCTACCAGCAGACACCGCGGGTTTATGTATCATCGTTGTTTCTAGTCTTCCAGTAGACCCCGCGGGTTTATATGCCACCGTGGGTTTCAGTCTACTAGTAGACACCGCGGGTTTATATATCACCGTGGGTTTTAGTCTACCAGTAGACAACGCGGGGTTATATATCATCGTGGGTTCTAGTCTACCAGTAGACACCAAGGGTTTATGTATCATCGTTGTTTCTAGTCTTCCAGTAGACACCGTGGGTTTATATGCCACCGTGGGTTTCAGTCTACTAGTAGACACCGCGGGTTTATATATCACCGTGTGTTCCAGTCTATCAGTAGACACCGCGGGGTTATTTATCATCGTGGTTTCTAGTCTACCAGTAGACACCGCGGGTTTATGTATCATCGTTGTTTCTAGTCTTCCAGTAGACCCCGCGGGTTTATATGCCACCGTGGGTTTCAGTCTACTAGTAGACACCGCGGGTTTATATATCACCGTGGGTTTTAGTCTACCAGTAGACAACGCGGGGTTATATATCATCGTGGGTTCTAGTCTACCAGTAGACACCGCGGGGTTATATATCATCGTGGGTTCTAGTCTACCAGTAGACACCGCGGGTTTATATATCATCGTATACCACCGTGGGTTCCAGACTACCAGTTGACACCGCGGGTTTATATATCCCCGTGGGGTCCAGGCTACCAGTAGACACCGCGGGGTTATATATCATCGTGGGTTCTAGTCTACCAGTAGACACCAAGGGTTTATGTATCATCGTTGTTTCTAGTCTTCCAGTAGACCCCGCGGGTTTATATGCCACCGTGGGTTTCAGTCTACTAGTAGACACCGCGGGTTTATATATCACCGTGGGTTTTAGTCTACCAGTAGACAACGCGGGGTTATATATCATCGTGGGTTCTAGTCTACCAGTAGACACCAAGGGTTTATGTATCATCGTTGTTTCTAGTCTTCCAGTAGACA